TAGAATCAATTTTGCTAGCAAGATCAGGGCCAATATTTGAAAAGTAATTGTTAAACCCCTCAGCAATATCTTGGGTATTAGTCAAGATGTTTTCACCTACTTTTAACTCGTTTACAACTGTTGGTTTGCTTTGCCTACCTAATATATTGTTTATAGTTTTCCACGCCTCTTTGGGGTTGTGTTTTTGACCAGCAATCTTAGTGGAGTAGTAATCTTTTTTGGCATTTTTTAGCTGAATATTAACTTTGTTTCTTGCTGTTTTATAATTTAACCAGTCTATCTCTAGGTTTGTGATAATGGCTTTTCTTTTTAATCTGTCCCTTGTGTTCATAAGATTCTTTATGACACTTGTTATCCAAGGAACTTTTTTTGTTCTAATCTTTTTCTGTTGAATTGGTGCATGTTTATCTAAGACATTTAAGAATAATTTCTTCCAAATTTTCCACATATCATTTGGATCTTCTGCAAAAAAATAAACATTCTCCCAGGGCTGTCGGCTTAAATCTTCAACAAATTTTTGATTGTCAAATTTTTTCATATTTCTAATCTCAACTTTGTTTTCTTGTTTTTTGAAAAAGTAAATTTTCCTTAGGGCAAATACTAAACTATGGTCACTTAATCCAGTATGGATGACACCCGAATCAAAATTTTTTTCTGGTGTATTTGTAACTATGTGATCAATTAGACTAGAGGTTGTCATAGTTACCCGGGTAGCTTCATCAATTAATTGTGATAGTTGATATAACTCGTATAATGACTTTAATTTTTTTGTTGGAGGATTTGAATCCTTATCTGGTTTTAGCATATCACAGTTTAGATCACCCAGAAAATACATTTCCTTGTTTTCATCATCAATAGCTTTGATTAATTTTTCAAGATGATCAAAGAATTCAGATGATGAACTGGGTGGTCTATAAACTGTTATAACTAGAAATGGTCTACTATGTGGCTTTATAATTTCCACACAAACAGCCTCTAGTTCAGATGGAACAAGATCATGTCTTACTTTATAGTTGATGGAGCTACGCAAGTATATACAAACTCCACCCCCATTTCTTGATCTGTCTTTTCTCACAACATCATAATCATTAATTCGAATCAAGCCATCATTAACACTTGAATTGAGGCGTGTCTCATTGAAAGCAATAAGGTCAACGTGTTTGTTTGACATTGAATACCTTATTTCATCAATTTTTGGGAGCAGACTAACAATGTTAAGAAAAGCCATTTTAAAACCTCTTTCATTTGGAATGGAGTTAAGGCTAGTGAAAAAATCGCTACTCACATTGTTTGAGGAACTATTATTACTTAATGATTCATTATTTGATTGACATGTTGGAGATACATCATCCATTCTCTGTTCCAATGTCTGTGAGTTTGGTAAAAAAACTGCCTATTATTACCTACTGTTTTTGGTATATTACCAGCAGTTTTAACTCTAATTGATTTTAAATATGCACAGAAAGCACTTCCAAGCACCCTATCACCTGACTGGTTCAAGTGCAAATTTGAGCGATTTAGGAATGACCTGTCTATATGGTCATTATTTAAAAATGCTATATTATGTTTCACACATAATTCGCTGACTAAATTATTAAAGTGGGTAATCTTGCTAGCTGGCACTCGGTTATCATACCTTTTTATGACACTGGATATGGCAATCTTTTTGGAATGATCTTTAAGGTTGGCAACAAGCCCATCCATCTTGGCAGCAACTGCTTCTGGATCTTCAGCGCCAAGGTTATTGGTGCCCACATGAAGAATAACAGCCTCGTGTTGCTCATCTTCTGACCAATATTCCTTAAACTTCGCGTCAATATACTCCACTCTTGCACCACTGTAAGAGTGAACGACTGAGTCACAACCTGCAGCCCGTTCAATCTTCTTCTGGTCAATGTGTTTCACCATTGAGTCGCCAATCACCAAAACTTTCTTCCTATATTCTTTCTGTTTTCCTGCAACAGACTTCTGAGAAAGGACTTGGTTCTTCTTTTTATTAATATGACCATGTGCTTGGCTCTTCTGATTCGTTTTCAGATTTTGGAATTTTGAGTTATTCGTTGATCGGTAGTCCAAGATTTGGCTGTTGATGTTATCCTTCGATTTCTCGGTTGAAGCTAATTCAGACGATGATATATTTTCATCATTTTCATCAACTAGGACTTCAAAACTGTTTAATGTTTTGGTGCTGGGCAATTTCTTTCCATTTTCCTTTGGAGTACTAGGTTTTCCCGACGCTTTTACCCATTCATTCTGTTTGATGTCAAGAATTATTTTTATATTCCCATTGTCAGTGGTAAGTTCTGACACTGTGTGATTTAGGTATGCAATTTCAGCCGCCATTGTGTTGTTGACATCTTGCAATGTTTTTATTTTTGCTTCCGAGGCTAACTCTCGTGCGATGGCATTTCGATTATCTTCATCATGTTTTGATTTCATATGATTTATTATTGTCATTATTTTGGCTATTTCTTCTTCGTAGCTCTTGTATACATCGCTGTTTAAACGCTTCGTGTTTACTTCGGCTTCAGCTTTTCCTTCGGTTTCGTCGATAACATTGACCATGTGCTCGTTCAATTTTCGCTGACTTGTTTCGCTGTCATCCTCGTTTTTATGGTCAGACATCTCTGTTGGGCAAACGTGTTCTTTATCGTTATCTGTGCTGGACAATTCCGCCACAAAGTTTTCAACATCAGCTTCTGAAAGCGTAGACATACTGTTCTTTGTGCGGCGAGACATATTACAACGCACAAAATTTCGCGCAGAATATCACGAAAAATACGTTGCAAAACAACTCCAAAATTAAACAAGTGAAATCACCAAATGGTTAGAAACAATTTGATATGTAGTTTATCCAACATTCAATGGGTTAAACATTTGAGCAATAAATATGTAATAGGCACGTACTGTTCCGGGAGTGGAACCTTCTGTCCTGTGATTCTGAACAGCTCTTTAACAGCCGGGAGACACTCAAGCCCTGAGAGTCCAAGCCCCAAGAGTCCATCAAGCTAACCAAGAGTTCATGTATTTATGAATTATAAATGTTCACAGTAAAATTTTAAGCAGAACAGCATCAAACAATCAAGATTTAATTAATGACTTAAGAGAAGAAAATCGAAAGCTTAAGTCGCAAAATGAACAGCTACAAGAAAGAAATACAGATATTTCGTGTACCATGACAGATCTCCATATGAAAATCAAAAACTTGGTAAATGAAAGAGATTGTCTAGTTACAACACTCAAGATTTTACACCTTGACCGAAAGGATATCGAAAAGCAACCCGCAACCTCTGGATGGCGTAAGGTAAAATCAAATGGCCCAGCTAAGACATTAGACAATTATTCGCCTGTTATAACATCCAATCGATATGAAATTCTCGAGGAAGAATCGAAAAAGGAGAGTTACGATCAAGTAATTCATACTGAAGATGTATAGATCTGCAAACGAAACGATACAACCACGGAAAGACAACTCGATCAGACCAAGCGAAAAGTAAGCCAAAAGATAACGCTAACGGAAACACAGAGAAGTCTGTCAAAACGACATATATTGTTGGTGATTCTATGATTAAACATTTGGATTGTCATAGACTAAAGCGTTCCGTTCAGAACGGGAACAAGAGAGTGCATGCCGAGACGTATCGAGGAGCCACAACGGGTGCAATGCAATACCACATTAAGCCATGTCTCCAAAGAAAACCTGACGAAATCATTCTACACGTTGGGACAAACGATCTCAAAGAGAAAAATCCAAATGAAGTGGCAAAGGGCGTCTTGAAGGTATGTAATATCATAAAGAAAGAGAGTCCACGAACTAAAGTTGTGATTTCAGAGTTGATAATAAGAACTGACTCGCCAAATCTTAAAGATCGAGTTGAAGAAGTAAACAAACAACTTTTTACTTATTGCAACCAGAATAACTGGAATTACATTAGGCATAAAAATATTGGAGTTAATCATTCAAACACATATGGTCTTCATCTTAACAGGCTAGGAACAGCAACCTTAGCAAGGAACATTCCATTATATTTGAACAGTGATAGGAAACATAATTGAAATTATATCGCTCCTGAGAATTTGAACAATTGGGATCATCTAAACAAACAATTGAAGTAGAAAAAATTGCTAACACGACAACTAGATCTAGTATAACTCAACAGCGACATAAACTGAAGGGCTTCAAGATATGTCATTTAAATATCAGAAGCTTAGTTAAAAATATAGATCAGTTTAGGATATATAGTCATAACTGCAAGTTTGATATAATATGTTTAAGTGAAACAATGCTAGACGGTACAATCCAAGATTATGAAGTAAATGTTAATGCATACGAAGTTATTCGTAAAGATAGAAATCGTAATGGCGGGGGTGTTGCGATTTATATTAGAAATTGTATAAGCTATAAATTACGGCCAGACTTAGATCACGCAAATTTGGAATCAATCACAGTTGAAATTTTCAAACCAAAAGCGAAGTCGTTTTTAATCAATACATGGTATAGACCACCGGGTACAAGTCTTAATTGATTTGTTTAGTGATTACGAGGAGTGTATTGCAAAGATGGATTATGAAAATAAGGAAGTTATCACAATTGGAGATTTCAACTGTGATTGGAACAATCTCGGAGAACGTACAATTTCCCCTCAGACAAAAAGCATCGTTGATCTTGCTCAAACATTTCAATACGAACAATTGATTTAAAGAATCAACGAGAATAACCGAAACTTCTAGTACGTTAATGATCGTTAATAGACTTGGCATTCAGTAACAAGCCAGAACTGATTATTGACTCGGGCGTGGAACACATAGGAATAAGTGACCATAGCATGATCTATGTCTGCCGAAAAGTTTCTATTCCCCGAAAAGAGCCAAAAATTGTCAACACAAGACAGTATAAATATTTCGAAATTAATGCTTTTAGATCAGATTTAATTGAAATTTTCCAAATACAATCAAACCTTACAAACCCAAACATTCTTTGGGAGGAGTGGAAATCAAAATTTTTGGCGGTTGCTGATCTACATGCGCCACCAATTACACGGAAAGTTAGAAGTGAGTATGCTCCTTGGATTACAGAAAATATTAAGAAAAGTATGCAAAATAGAGATTATCTTAAAAAAAAGGCCGTTAAATCGGGCTCAAGGAATGTGCACGAAGCGTATAAAAGAGCAAGAAATGAAGTAAACAAGCTCGTTAAAAACACGAAAACTAAATACTTTATGAATGCCCTAAGTGAAAATAATCAAAATCCTAAAACAATGTGGAACACAATTAGGACATTGACAAACAAAAATTCTAAAACAACTAACATCACTGAGATCCACGTTGAGAATGACCACTCTGTTACCGAGCCTAAACAGATTGCTGATGCCTTTAATACATTTTTCATTAATATTGGTACTCAACTGGCTGATGCTTTACCTGTAACCAACATAACACCAGAATCATTTATCACCCCTGCGAATTCCTCTTTTGAAATTCATACCGTTTCAATTGAAAAGGTATTTAATTTACTTTCCACTATAAAGGTTTCTAAGGCAACAGGACACGATAAAATCTCACCAAAATTGCTGAAAGACTCTGCAGATATCATAGCGCCATCTTTGGTTAATATCTTTAACCAATCTATTAAAACTGGTATCTTTCCTGATGATATTGCACTTTCCACCTTTCATGGCAATGCCTGCAATGATGAGCTGCATCATAAACCTGGCATGATTGCAACTTACAATCAATTCATGAATGGTGTTGATCGAGCTGATCAGTTGCTCTCCCACTATTGTTTGAACAACAAGATTCGCAAGTGGTGGAAAAAAGTATTTTGGAGGCTACTTGAAATGTGCATAACTAATGTTTACGAAATTAGAAAATTCAAAGATAGCAAAGTGGTTCACAAGCAACTGAGACTCACCATTACTTGATTCGCGTGTTGGAGGTATAGTTCTCGCTCTTCACTTCCAGGACATTACCGGCCACCAGCGGACCTATCACGACTGAAAGGGAAGCATTTTGCAACTGGTACAAAGAAAGGAGGAAAAAAGAGCAAGGTGTCTGTGGGAGCAAGAACACCAATGAAGAGAAGAGATACAAAAACTGCGAATAACTGTGTGCAGTGCACCGTTTTCTTGTGTGTTTCACCGATTACCACACCAAAGCACAATTGTAATATGTGACAATGTTTTTATTATAGGCTACAAAATTAATGTATATGGCTGTTATTGTCCTTATGAAAATATATTTACACTAGTTCTTATAAAAACAAAGTATCAGGTGTGAATATAATAACGTTCATGGCCGCCATAGAAATTGGTTCTATTGCGCAATTTCATAAATGTTCAATTTCTCCGAAACTACATGTTGGATTGAAATGAAAATTTATAGGTGTATTGGCGCAATACACTGTTGTGATTGTCAAAAGATCAGGACGTGACCTTCTAGAAAGATTGAAAACTCCGTTTTATTTATGGTAAGTAAAATGTAATCGTTCTTTACTGTTTATTTTATACTCAGGTAAGGCGAATTTAAACGATGAGAGTTTGACAGCCAATACTAACAACACTCATTGACTCTCGTAGTCTCCTGGTGCAACCGTTGTTCTGTATTATTCGGTGGCTCGATAGGGAAAAAAATAAGAAAAATTGAATTGTTTAGAAACAATATTTTTTTGAGAGTTTAACACTAATCTTTCGTATACAATTGGTTTTTGAGGCTAGCCCGTTCGCGGGCTAGCCACAATGTAACGCAAAAATTGTAAGATTGTAAGATTGTCAACTTTACTTCGGAAACTGTCGTTCATGGCATGAGGCGACGATATTAAATGCCACAGAAAAGGTATTTAACGACTTTAATACCGGCAGATGCCCCACTTAGCAAAATTACAGTTGGCAACGCTGGTAGAAATACTCGAAGGAATTTTTCACATAAACGGTAAGTTAATTTTTGTTATTTCAATCGATATTCATGTTTAGGCCTAGGCCTATAATTTGTGAATCAGCTGTCATTTTATAATTATAAAAAACATTGTCATTGCTATTCATGTCTGCTCTGGACTCTGCTTCTGGTCAAAAAGATTTTGATCACGCTTCATATAAAGCTTTATAGTGAGCTTATAATACTGTTTATAATCAAACGTGCTTGCACAGATCTTGAATTTTAACATGTCATTTATGCGGGTAAATTAAGAAGCAAGCGCATTGCTGACATATTTAATATACTACAACTGCCCTATCCACTTGCGGGTATAAACAGGCTGGACTATTTTATATTACTATAGTCTTTAATGATCACTGCCATTACACTGACTGCAAATTAATGGGTGCTATTATTGAGAATCTTGTAGATGGAAATAACTGAGTGAAAATGTATTTAATTCATTAGACCTAACCAGGAACAGCTGCGAAAAATGCAACTGTAGGTGCAGTTTATTTTTGGGTATCCGGTCCAGATGTAATATGTGATCTAAGATCATCCTCTGATGTAGCGACAGGGGGTGTGGGGGTGTAGACCCCAACCATTTTTGATACAGTCAATTTAGATCCAATTCGTTTTCAAATGTGCTTTAGAAAACACCAGAAATGCAGTTCTGGAGCTTCCAAAATATAAACATTTTCTGGGGGAGGAGCCCCACACCCCCTTTTCTTAGGAAACTTAGTATGACAGTGGAAATCAATCAGAAAAAGCTCTATTATAATTATTACACTTCAAGTAGATTTTTAACATTAAAGTTCAGATTTCAGGTAAAATTCTCCGATATCCCCCACCCCCCAAATGTCAGATGCTTTGCTACCTCCAGGAAGATCAGTGCAATCACCATACAACACTGACCGTTGCAGTTGTGAGGGTATATGAAAAAGCAAACACACACCCATAGTGCTGAGGTCATATCGACAAGTTTCAACCTTTCTTTTCAGCATTTAATAACAGTGCTCAGTGTCAATTGAGTAGCATGTTCATGCTTGTATAGCCAGAGTTAAAAGTTGTTTAAATTTAAAACCTGCATCATTTACAATATTTCATTTGCAGATAAAAGCACAATTCAAAATCATAGTATGCATGACTGACATTCACAGTACTTCAAACAACCACATCAACACATATTCTGGACAATTTGCTGATAATATGGTGACTGGTGATAATATTGGATAATGATAATATGGTGACTGGTGATAATATTGGATAATATAGAAAGATCAGAATAAGCAAATATCAGGGCAAATATACAACTATCAGACAAAAGTTTTAGTGGTGATGACATAATTGATTGGATGAGTTCATTATAAATTACGATGCTTTTAGATCTTGGATCTTACAATAAATAAAAATGTTTAGAAATCTAGTATTAAATACTATATTAATGAAGAGCTTTGAATTTAACCCATTGTGCCCTACATTTTTTACTTGTTTAACGCCAAACAATTTTGCTTGTCAGTGGGAAAGCTCTGCAGCTTAATGGGTTAAAGGTTTTATGAAATCTGCGATGCCAACAATTCAAGAAAAGCTAATAACTTGTAAACCAGACACCAGAATATATTTGTAACAAGAAATCCATGTTGTTGGCTGCACCGTTGCTACAAACCATTGCTTTTAAATCGAGTGATTGTAGCCATTTGGTAGCATTGTAAGAAAGATACTGCATCTGTTTTATTTTGTATTATTAATTTTGTATCACAATGAATGTTTGTGAATGAATGTTTATGACAATGTGAACTCCAGCTGTATTCGACAGGCTGAATATGCTAGCCACATGTACGCAGTGCGTACCTATTTTTAAAATAATGTCAGGGTATTTCCAGTTGTTTGGGGGAAACCATGGAAACCGCATCTGGGTTTTTTTTCAAAATAACCCTATGAAACGGCTTTGTATACTGGTTTTTATTGTTGTTTTGTAAAAATTGCGCATCGTTGCAAAGAGGACTGGTAAGTAGATACAATTACAAGTCACCAAGGTTATTTAGGTTACCAAGTCAAAATTCAAATTGAAAGAGAAAGCTAGAAAACAAATCTGTTAGAGTTGTATTTTCGTTAGAAACGCCTGATAAAAAGAAATTTATTCGATTGAAAGGAAAGAAACGAAAGTTTCACGGAAACCGTCATGTCAAAGTCGAAAAGCGCTTCAGAATTTAGGTTATTGCCTGCCTCTAAAAGGAAACTTGACTGTGATTTATCAAGTGACGATTAAGAAGAATGTGCTGACGGATTTCGACTAATAGATATATCGATTTTGATGCCCATTTTCAACACCTTTTTACGCCCTAAATGTAAGTAGGGTCACATTGTTGTGAAGGAAGACAGAACGGCAAAGATTGGACTTGTGACACAACTTTCTTTGGAATGTTCTGGCGAAACCTGTTCATATTCTATGAATTTTTATACACCAAGTCGGGTGAATAATAAATCTAAAGCCTTTGAAGCAAATAGAAGTGCTGTGTTGGCGGCAATGAGAAACATTGGAGTTGGTCACCAAGGGCTTGTGAAGTTTTGTGGCACAATGAACATGTTGGCACCTTTGAAGGCAAATTCATACACCAGCCATGTGACAGCTATTCATGGAGCTGCGGAAGTTGTTGCCAAGGCAAGCATGAAAAGTGCAGCAGACGAGACAAAGGAGTTTTATGAACCAGAAAAAGATGGTGTGTATGATGTTGGTATTTTGAAGGCTCATCGGGTGCAATGGATGCTGCTAGTTGTGTGAGAATTTTTAAATGATCAGTTGAACAACATTCATTACGGTATGTGGAGTTTCTTGGTGATGGAGATAGTAAAGCTTACAATGAGATTACAGAAGCTTTATTTTATGGGGAGAAACCAGTTACCATGCAAACTTGAATGTGTTGGCCATGTGCAGAAGAGAATGGGGTCGAGACTTCGTTCCCTAAAGAAACGTTTGGGAAAGACTCTCCTAAGCGATGGCAAAGGTATTGGTGGTAAGGGTCGGCTAACTGACAAGGTTATTGACAATTTACAAGTGTATTATGGCAAAGCAATCAGAAACAATACACACAGCATGGAAGACATGGAGAATGCTGTTTTGGCAATATTTCACAATACCAGATCCACTGATGCAAACCCAGACCACAACCTTTGTCCTAAAGAGAAACTATAGTTGGTGTGGGTATCAGAGAGATTTGGCCAAGAACACAAATGAATACTCGCACAGTCATCCTCTGCCAGAAACAGTGTCAGATTCAATATTGCCAGTATTTACAGATTAGAGCAAGAGTCAGCTACTGTCTTCCTGTCTCCATGGTGGTACGCAGAATAAAAACATAAAAAAGACGCCTCCAATGCTTTGATTTGGCAGCGTGTCACCAAGGACCCACTCAAGCCTGCCAAGTGTAGAACTGGCAACTTTTCCAGCTGTTGGTATTCTCAACAATGGAGCTAAAGGAAACCTAGATATATTGGAAAACCTAGGGATCAAACCGGGGTGTCAGACAAAGAAGTGTCTCAAGAAAACAGACTATGACCATCTCCGCCATTCCACACAAGAGCTCCGACAAGCATAAAAATAAAAGAAAAAAGACAAGAACAGAGAAAAAAGGCTATATTGACAACCTGTCAGAAAAGGAAGATACCAAATATGAAGCTGGGGTATTTCGAGCCTTAAACTTGAACTAGTTAAACATCCAATATTGAGTTTCTTGCGACCCCTTAATTTTCAATGACGCAAAAGTAGGCTTTAGTCGCAAGGGTGCTACACTCATGCAATTCAATAAATATACACCAAATTTATTTGGTTAATGGCCTAAGTGTGTTACTTATACCCCCCCCCCCAATAGTATCATTCCAAAATTCTGTGGTGGTGAAACAACCTATCAAAAATAGTCGATTTTTCATTTCAATTCGAGCCACGTTATTCAACTTGTCTAATCCACTATCCAGGTTGCATCACGTTTGATTGATCGATCTTATTCTGTTGGCTTTTACCCCTACGGCCCCGACGATCCTGCTGTGTTGGTCAGAATATACCACAGAAAAGGGGTCGTGTAGCACTATTACAAGGAGTAAAAAGTGACAAAGTGTACAACCTTTAGCTTTATATGTTTGTGTATCGGTTTGTCAAGGCAATGAAGTGTCCATTCTAGAATCGAGCGATTAGCAATGTGCTCTCAGCACGTTTTAGAGCTACCCAGCGTGGATTATTGTCAGGACATATTAATATGTGAATTGGTCTGTTTTATATATCCCCAAGATATGTTAATATATTCTTCTTTCAGGGTAAATTTCTCAATATGCTCACAATTTCTTTCCTGTGGCATAGTTTTACAATTCTGACTGAGTACAATCTTAGTCAAACCAAATATGGTCATGTATTTTAATGGATCATCTGTCAATGTATTTTGTGATAAAATTGATAAAAGCACTACCTAATGTGTTCGTGCAGATTTCATATTGATCCCTGTATACAATATATATGGTGCAATTTCACATGAGTGCATGTAACGCTAGAATTGTCTTACTTTTGTTTTTTATTGCAGTTTCACAAAAAATTGCACTGTGTATAGTAGGTGTGTACAGTAAATTACAGTATCTTATAATAATACAAAAGCATATAAAATATTGGCATTAATGGGTATCAAGACGACGTGGTCTTAACTCTTGAATAATTCAACACACAAGTGGCTGTAGAACATGGTGGTCGCATCCCTTTCTGGTCATTTTTTCAAAAACATTTTTGTGTGTTTAGGGTATTTTAAATATTGTAGATTTAGAATTTGTAATTACTTTTGTGAAATTTTTACGTTTTAAACACAAAAACTGCTTTTAAAGTGGTGATGATCCAATATATTCCCCTTAGCAACGACGTTTTATCAAAAAAGACATGAATTATTCAATACAAACGAGTTTTTTGTAGTTTCTACTTTTGATTTATGTCGATTAAGCCTTTTTAATAATGCTGCAATTTGATTGGTCCATTCTACAAGCACGTTGAAGTACCTGCTTTATAGTAATCTTCACATATAACGTTCTCAACATACTGGCTGTAAACATCGCTCAAACTTCGAGAAAAACAATATGGATATTGTCATATTTTGTTAAATTGCAAGATTCCCGCCGTGCAAGAAAACTAAAATATTCAAAGATGGCGAACAATGTAACAACGATAACCCTGGGGCTTCTGGGATGAAAATAGGCGATGTAAGTAAAACGTTTCGCGAAAATCCTGCTCTCACGGACACATGCAGTTAAAGAGCGTACAGTACTTATGGACTTGGGAGTCCTTTTAAATGTGTTTAATGAAATTCTGAGATGCCCTGAATGTGGGAACAACATGAACTGCTATGTTGATATGAAGAAGAATGGCTTTCCTCACTATATAGTTCTGCAATGCAGTAGTGTGGAATGTGAATGGAAGTACTGCTTTTATACATCCAAAAAACAGGGGCATTGATATGAAATTAATGTGAGGGCTGCCTTGGCATGGTAGGGGACAAAAACCTATGGTAACATTCGCCAAAGTAATGAACATGCCACCACCGCCAACAAGCCGTAACTTTACAAAGCTATAAAACAAAAAGATGTTGCCTGTTGTTAAACAGTTTGCAAATGACAGTATGGTGAATAATGCTATGACTGTTAAACAGGCTTGCGATAATGAGTGTGGAATTTCCCTCAATGGAACTTGGCAAAGTCGAGGTCATGTGTCACATAATGGTGTCGTAACCGCCATCTCATTACATGCAACAAATGTCTAGATGTGGAAATATCGTCAGATAAATTCCAAGCATATCAAAAGTGGCAAAACAAGGTGAATGATCCAAAGTATCAAGAGTGGAAAGCGAATCACATTTGAAATATCAACCACACTAGAAGTTCCAACAGTATGGAAACAGCTGGAGCACTGCGAATTTTTGAGATACTATGAAACAAGGGGTCTACGGTAGTACGGTAGAAGGACATGCTTGGTGATGGCGACTCGTCCACGTATAGTGCAGTTACAGAGAGCACGCCCTATGGAGATGATTGCATCCCAAATAAACTGGAATGCATTGGACTTTGTACAAAAGAGAGTGGGAAGTCAGCTGCGAAGGTTAAAAAACACAAAGAAAGGTGTGAAATTGAGCGACGGCAAAGGATTTGGGGGTAAAGGAAGACAAAGTGATGGGAAAATTGATATTTTACAGAACTATGGTCTTGCAGTAAGAAATAATAACTTGGCTGATGTTAACAAAATGGCCACAGCTATAAAATCAACATTATTTCATTATTTAACATTATGTCATTATTTCATTTTTTACATAATTTGATTATTTCATTATTTCATAATTTTATTTTCTCATTATTTCATTATTTTCATTTTTTCATTATTTCATTATTCAACATTATTTCATTTTTTACATAATTTCATTATTTCATTATTTCATTACTTCATAATTTCATTTTTCAACATTATTTCATTATTTCGACTGAGTAAAATTCACAGCATCATCTTTGTCCTGATGGTGACGACAGTTGGTGCGAATACAAGAGAGAGAAAGAGTCAAATAAACACAAGAATGGCATACCTCAGTGCATTGTTCATGAAATTGAGCAAGTTTGTGATGACTTAAGTAACTCCGATCTGCTTCAGAAATACACGCATCGTTTGACCCAAAATGTCAACAAATGCTTGAGTGGGCTAATTTGGGATCGATGTTCGAAGACCGCCTACGTGGAACAGTCCACTGTTGCACAGTCCACTGTTGCACAGTCCACTGTCGCTATTTTGAACTATCTTACGAATTGGAGCGAAGAACATTGTACATAAGAGTAGTTTAATCCCCACCCCCAATCCAGTGAGGGAAGTGACGTCATCAGGAATGCATAGAGCGAGGTGACGTCAGAGGGTGTCCGTCTGACGTCAGAGGGTGATCAACTGTGTCAAATGCTTTGCATAGATCAAGGAAAAGGACACCGTTTATCAACCCAGCATCCATATTCAGTAGTCATGAATCCATATTTTCTAAAAGAGCCGTTCTGATTGAGTGAACTTTTCGTAAACCGGACTGCATGACATGGACTCATCGACTCGGCATTAAAGGAGAATCGTCTTGCACGGGAGGCGGTGCAAAATGTTTCAAAGCAAAAGATGGCGAATTTATTCTAAACTGGTACTTCAAGAAACAGTCAACTTTGCAATTTCAAGGCACTGAAGGAGTCAACTTCAAGAGCAAATTGATAGAACAAACTTGATAGAGCAAAGCACGCCATTGATCAAGTCGAAAGCAGAGACCCTACTAAAAATCAAACCGAAGACGAAGCAGGTCCTATACGTCGGTCAATGGTGAAAATGTCGAAGGAGAAGTTAATTTAGCAGATATATCGCTCGAGATTGTTCGAAATAATACATGTAAGAGCACAAACAGTCATATTAAAACGTCGCCGACTCCAAATATATGCCCTTGTAATTGAAAATCACTTTCGACCGAGATAGAAGATATAAAGCTTGACATAGTTATACTACAAAATCGTGCAGACATTTCGAATGCTAAGAATATCAAATCAACTGAAGAAATAAATTAGTTGCGACTTCAACTACAAAAGGAACAGCACAAAAATCGCATGCTCGAAGATCGTGCAAGGGCGGTAGAAGAGACTCACTCCGACTAGCTCTGAAACTCCTGATGCAAGATCAAGTCAGTAAGCTTTTGGCTAATGACCTGAGCACACAAGAAAATTGCTGGCAGCCTGTTGATAAAACGGTTAAATCGGGCAAAACAACGATGTTGAACAAGACGGGTAAAACAACGATATCAAACGATGTCAACGGCGATAAATCGAGCTCGTTGTGGTGTCACGCGAATAGCTTCAGTGTCTTGGGCGAGCTGTATACATCCTGTGGAGAAACTGAAGAAAGGCAATCTGAAATTATCTCAACAAACAAGGCGAAACACGATGAACAGTGGGAGATTCCATGGTCAAAGGCCATCAACATAAACTTGCAAATTCGGTAAATCAAAACGTCGAGGTGAAGTGCTTCGCAGGAGTGACTGTGGTTGAGCAATTACATTAAACCTGTATTGCGCAGAAAGCCAGATAACATTGTATTACATGTGGGAACAAATGATACCAAAAATAGAAAAGTAACAGAAATAATGAACCACATCGACAATTTATGTCAAGAAATCAAGGAAGCTGCCCCTGGTGCTGAAATTGATCAACCGAGAAGAGAATATGAAATCTAAACAAACAATGATCGAGGTAAATAAACTCTTAGGAGATTACTGTACTACAACTAATTTAGGTCTAATTACACACGATAACATAACGAGGCCTGGAGAACCCATGGGGTCATATATGACCCCACTGTATTGAAAAGCCCATTGTTAGTGACATGTTTGATGATAATTATTTTTTCCCGCTAAAACCCAGAGTCCCACATATGACCCACCCGAAAAAGTGATCTGGTGACGAATTTGTAAAATTACGTCATTGGAATTTTCGAAACAAACATGGCGCTTTTCACTGTGAGTTTAGTAATTTTGAATTGCGGTTTTCAAGGAATCAAGCCATAAAGAAGTAAGTTACATATATTTTTATGACTGGAACTAAAGGATGAGTTATTAGTGAACAAGTGAAACGTATGTTGGCGAGGTTTTTGTAAATTTGTGATGCATACAGCAAACTGTAAAATCGACGGGTAACATATGACCCACTGGGTCACTGTGGACATTTTTGTCAGGGGTCAGATTTTTGAAATGTGATAAAGTATAATGCAGGATTTAGTATATATATAAAATCAGTCTTCCCAACTTTACACCAACTTGGTGAGGGTTTTGTAGACTTATAGTTTAGGTCAAATATAAAGGTTCTGTTTTCAGAGATAAAATATGAATATACATAATATAGAACTACAAAACATTTTTATTTATAGTGTCTGTTTTCTTTTTTCATGATTCAGTTTATCATGGCTAGGCGCAGTAAGCGAGATTGTATTCCTGTTGAGCAAGTTATAGATAAAATTGATGTTGATGCTAGTGATGTAAGCCTAGATGGCCCAAGTGATGAGTCGGATAGAGATGAAGTGTATGACCCAGGTAATATTGATAATTTAGAGAGTAGTGACTCTGAAAGTGACCATGAACACTTATCAGAAGTGAATGACGAATCCAGTGGTGATGATGTACCTCTCGCACGTATATTGGCCAGCGCCACAAAGGGAA